ATTTATACCCCGCCTATCTGGCCCACCGGACCACTCTAGGCGGCTGTCATAATGTATTTTTGGGGTTATTTCCTTTCAGTTATTTATTTCAAATGCCACAGTCAGATTGTGAACTGGGGCGGATTGCAGAGCACATACCATATATTTCCCCTGTTACAGCAGCAACACTGGCTACTGATCCATTTCCGGACACAATTCAAAGTGTTAGTTTTAACCTATAAAGCCCTAAATTGCTTGGGTCGAAGCTATCTAAAAGACCGCATCTCCTTCCATGAGTCTGCCTGGGCATTAAGATCATCAGGGGAGCCCTTTCTCTAAGTCCCACCACCCTTACTGGTGTGCTTTGTGAAGACATGGGAGAGGACCTTCTCTGTCACTGTTCCAGACTCTAGAACTCCTTCCCACAGGAAGGAGTTCTGGCCCCATCTTTGCTCTCCTTCTGCAAGCAGGCAAAGACTTTTCTCTTCAGGCATGCTTTTCCTTAGTGATGGGCTGTCTGAGAGGGTTTTTTAAAATGGATTTTTGAACTCTGTTGCTTTTAAATGTATTTTCAGTATTCATTTTATTTATCATTTTAAAAATATTTGTTTAATTATTTTTAAACCTACTGTTTTTTAGCTATTAAATATTGCCTTTTTAATTATATAAGCCGCCTTTGGTTCTTTTAAAGAGAAAATTGTCTCTAAATTTATAGCACTGAGCTTAAGGTAGGCTGATACAGGTGCCATATACTTCGTAAAAACTCTGAGTACTGTACAGAGACCAAAAGGGAAAACTTTGAACTGGTAGATATCAGGGTCCAATGCAAACTGTAGGAAGTGCTGATAGTCCTTGCAAATAGTAATATGGCAATAGGCATCCTTTGATCTATTACAGCAAACCAGTCTCCTTTTTGAGACTGCCTCATTAAATGACAAAACCGCCTGACGATGAGGTTTTTGCAATTGCTTCTGCAATCGCAAAACAATGTTCTAATAGGAAAAATTCGCTTCACAATGATTTTTTGCTAGATGACGATTTTTAAATAGCTGATCGACGGCTCTAAAATAGCCGCCCACTGTGCAAAATGGCTCCCCACTGTGCTTTAGGACGGATTCCTCGTTATACAGGCACCGGAAAATGGCCATCCTATGGAGGATCTTCGCTTTATGATGAGGTATTTAGCCCACTGGAACGCATCAACCGGTTTTTAATGCATTTCAATAATGATGAGGTATTTAGCCCACTGGAATGCATCAACCAGTTTTTAATGCATTTCAATAGGTTTTTCCCCCCTGCTTGACGACAATTTCGCTCTACAACAATTTTGCTGGAATGGATTAACGTTGTCAAGCGAGGCACCACTGTATAATCTTGCAATGGGATTTTCTCTGTCCCTGAGCCTTTCCAAGGCGGAGGCTTTACTGTGACTAGCGTCCTTTCATCTAAGCCAAATGGTTCCTTTTGTTTCCCTGCTGCTGATTTCAAAAAAAACCCTGCTTCCCCTTTTATGTCCATGTTGACTATTGACAAAGGAACTGTGGCCCAGAGACTGTATGCCCACACATACGTATACAGTGGTGCCTCCACTTATGACCATAATCCGTTCCAGAAGATGGACGTAAGTCAAAATGGTCATAAGTTGAAGCACCATTTCCCATAGGAATACATTGAAACCCCATTAATCCGTTCCATCCAAAGAAAACAATCACACACACAAAAAATCACTGCAAGACTCATTAGAAACGCAATTAATCCCTTCTGACCAAAGTTGGGGCAGGGGGAGAAAAGTAATCAAGCGTGCAAGACCCATTGCAAATGCACAGAAAACAAACAGAGCAGATTGGAAATGCACAGAGAACAGAGGGACAAGGTCGGAAATGCACAGAAAACAAAGGAAAAAGCAAGGGAAGCATGCAGGACATCAGAAATGGGGAAACCCCCCAAAAAGCAACCAACCCCCTGACCTATCAGAAATAGGGACCCAAAAAACAAACCCCCAAGACCCATCGCAGCACAGAAACATAACCCCCCCCAGCCTAAAGGTAAAGGTAAAGGTTCCCCTTAACAATTTGTCCAGTTGTGTCCAACTCTAGGAGGCAGTGCTCATCTCCGTTTCCAAACCACAGAGCTAGCGTATGTCCAAACACAATCTTCTGTGGTCACGTGGCCAGCGCGACTAAACACGGAACGCTGTTACCTTCCCACCGTGGTGGTACCTATTTATCTACTCACATTTTTGCATTTTGCATGCTTTCGAACTGCTAGGTTGGCGGGAGCTGGGACAAGCGGCAGAGGATCAGTCTGTCACGTGGATTCGATCTTACGACTGCAGGTCTTCTGACCCTGCAGCACCGAGGTTTCTGCAGTTTAACCCGTAGCACCACCACGTCCCAGCCTAAAACCACGCTGCAAAAACACCCAGAAGTTTTTTAAAAGCAGAAAACAGCACCTTACTTCAACAGGCAGCCTGAAGCCTCCCTGCAAACACACACACACACACTCACTCAGAAGCAGAAGGAGGCAGTCCCAAGCCTCCTTCGATGACACTCTAACTGCTGGGGTGAAAGAGCTACAAAGAAGCAGCCTCGTTGCCACCTACAGTTAGAAATTTGAATTTCCCGCCTTTTTCCTGTGACTTTTTCTGTTCGTAAGTGGAAGCTCCGTTCACAAGTAGAAGCAAAATTTTGCAGCCGGAGCTGGTCATAACTCGAAATGGTCGTAAGTAGGGACGTTCGTAAGTCAACGTACCACTGTAGTTCACAAACTCACTCACTATGCAGTTTTCTATAGATAGCAATGAGATATTCACAGCAAAATACATATCCAGCTTCAGCATGCAGAAAAACACATAACACAGAAAGGAATATCATGTCTCTATTTGCACCAAAGTAACATATAATGCATATCATTCTTTGTTGCTGTGTATATCACTTTGTTCCTGTGTATATCATTCTTTGTTGCTGGACAGCCCATCTGCTACCAGATTCTTACATCCAGGAATAGTTCAACAGCAAAGAAGAAGTCCTATAGGCTTAGAGGCCAGAACAGCAATTTCTGGTTGCCCCCCTCATCTGGCCCAACCAGGCCAGAGGAGAATGATCAGTCTGCAATACAAATTCCTTGTCAACAGATAAGGTCTCAAATGTTCAAGAGTTCAGACCATAGACAGACATTCCAGTTCGGTAAGAGAATAACATGTCTCCCAAGGCTGAAGTTTTTGACTAAAGAACATCACTGGATGAAGAAAATCATTTGATCCTTTCTGGAGTAGACCTGCCCCTAAACCACACTTGCTTGCATCTGTTTGCAAGGTGAAGGGCCTGTCAAAATCAGGGGCGATCAGAATGGGAGGCTCTGGCACCTTAGCCTTCAGAGTAGCAAAGGCTTGCTGAGAGGTGTCTGTCCACTGAACCACTGCAATCCAGGGGTTACAACTATGTAGGGAGGGTACTGGGCACTTTTGGCCCTCCTGGATTTTTGACCTACAAAAGGACAATCAGGGCAGTGTGGCTGAGTGATTAGAATGGGCCTCTCTGACCCAGGGTTACCTTGACACAGCATCAACTCCTTCTGGTATTGTGGAAGCTTTTTTGGCTAGGAGTGGCTTTCTTACACACTGTAGATGCCGGTTCCAAGGATGACTGAGGCACCTGGTGTTGATTACTGACAGAAACTTCCAAGTTGTAGACTTTTCTGCAATTGAGATAGTTTGCTGAGGGACTGACTCCATTTGAATGATTAACTAAAGGCCAGAAATGAGGCCATGATTTTCTAGGTTTCCTCCTCAGAGGCAGAACTGACACATACAAAATCCTCTTGCTCTTATCTGCAGGCTGAGAGGGAAATCTGGTTGCTACTGGCTGCTGTTGAGGCTTTTTTTGGAAGCTGAGGTTCCTTTTTCGGTTTCTTCTGTTTCAGCTTTGGTTTCTTTATGGAAGTAGAATCAGGCTTGAAGAGTTTCTTTCTCTTCGATACTCATGAAGCCACTGACTGTGGTCCTGAAGCTGCTCTTAAAGAGATCAACTTTGGTGCCAGTGAGGATTCTGAGGTCCGTAGAATGTCTTCAGTATGAACTGAGGCCCCTGGTCTTCGTATGCTTTGGTACAGGTGGATTCTAATGTTGTGTCTGGATGATGTCTTACAGACAGACACTGTTGGAATGGGCAACAATTGCTGGGATGAGGTTCCTACCATCTGTAGCAATTTTTCCCAAAGATAAAACTTAAGACGGTAGCTTCAGGTTTTCATTTTTGTTAAAAAAATTAGAGGGGATTGTCCTAATGACTCTTTCTTTAAGCTCTAGAATAGTCCAACAATGTTTTGTGCAGGTGCAGAAACACCCATATGTATGAATCACTAAGACCACAAAGAAGAACTATACCAGACAAACATGGCTTGTATTTTGGTTAAATTAAAAATATTATATATATACAGCAAATTTGACTATGGGGATGAGGTGAGACCTGTTGAAAGGAGGCTTCCAGACCATTAATAAAAATAAAATAATTTAAAATTGACAATAACTCTTTTCTGTAACATTTCCAAACTTTGCAGCTACCTAGTAATTTACTGATTTAATACTATATTTTTATCACTTTAGTTTTATTGTTTGCTTCAAGTACTTCACATTGAAAAGAAAGATATAGAACATGGAAGCCTAAGTATCTGTGTCCTGTTTTTTCCCTTATATTCTTATGGCTGGTGTCTGAACATGATGCTGAGGCATGCAGATCTTATTAACTACTTTGGCAAAGTTGATGTTACCACTTTTGCTTTTTTCAAATGGTTTTGGTGGCAGAAAGATCTGCAACTCTCTCCTGAGACAGTTGAGGTTCATAGTTTTAAAGCAATATTTGCACTAATGGGGCAGAAAATAAATAAACAAACTAATGGAGGAATCATGGGACTTTCAATCTTCATTAAGTTACACAACATAACTTTGTTTTAACTAAGATTATTCTTACAGAAAGCAGATACATTTGAAATATATTAAACCATATATAACCTTTACAAGCAAATTGAAATAAGGATATATATTTACCAATTTTTCTGCTTCTGTGTTCATCTCCCTTAACTGTTTAATATGCTCCTTCTTGATCATAAGGACTTTTGATAATCTAGTCTGAAAAAGATTTCAGAATCAATATAATTATTTTAATGAATGTTAAAATACACTGCAGGAGTGAAGAGTTAGTACAGCACTACTGTATGTATAGATGACGTGCTGGATACAAATCAAATGCACAAATGAGGTATGAAATTCTTATATTTAAGCAATGCTTTCAAATACTCTTGCTGTAGCCTCACACAAAAGCATGGGTATAAACTGACCAGAATCCTACTGATATTTGCATAAGGTTCGCACAGCTTGCCTCAGTTAATCAACGAAGTACCAGAGTCATGTGCGCCACTCCACAACCAAGATGTGCACATCATGGTTTATCAGTTCAGATACCAAACCAAAATAGAGTTTAAATGTCTGAATAATTATTTGGCATGATGCTAAACTGAATTAAAGATACTAAAATAAATAATGGCTATAATACAGGGACTTATACAAGTAGCTTCATGAATCCAGAGGTACTACAGATTTACCCATTTGATTTATATTCCCACTTTCCCCAGAAACAGGGACCCAGAGCGGTTTATTTGTTTTCCTCAAACAAATCTCAGATTTTAGATTCTTTTCCCCCTCAAACTAAAGTTGGGTGCTCTGAGGATTTCCTGCTTCAGCACAAGGTTAGACTCAGTAATGCATGAGGGTTGTTTCAGCGCTTCAATTTGATGGTTATATAAAATACTAGAGCCAATGCCATGTGCTAACTGCTTTAACATGAAACAAATTTTTCAGTGCTGTTCAAGGAGGGCAGTCAACAAGTGCTCAGGATTACTACAATCTCTTTGTAGGAGCTTATTCAGATTTCTGGATAGCAGAAACTACTGATAACAATTAAAAGCAACTGCTGGCACAGCAATGGAGATTCAGCTGAAGAAACTTCAAACAATAAGATATTTATTTTTCAAAACAGCATGTTTTAAACAACCGAGTGGCCTGAAAAAAGGTTATTAAAAATTTCAGCACACACATATTTTACAGTATTATTCTAAAGCAGAACTTGGGAAAAAATACATTGAACGAGGCACTTCTTTCAAGGTACAGTGGTGCCTCGCTTAGCGATCACTCCGTTTTACGGCGAAATCACTTAGCGATGGACTTTTTTTCATCGCCAGAGTGATCACTTAGTGATGACCCCTATGGGAAGAAATCACTTTGCGATGATCACGGGCACGCGATCATGGCAAAGCGCCAATTTTTAACAGCTGATCGGTGGTTACAAAATGGCCGCCAGAAAAACAAAATGGCGACCGCTGTTTTGCCTCAATTTAGAGGCACCCAAAATGGCCACCGCTATGTAGGATTTTTGTTTACAGGTAAGTTTTTAGCCCATAGGAATGCATTAAACACGTTTTAAGGTGTTCCTACGGGCTTTTAAAAATCGCTTAGCGATTAAATCATTTAGCGACGTTTTTTCCTGCACGGATTAACGTCGCTAAATGAGGCATCACTGTAATATATTACTATCCCTTCCCTCAGATATTCAATGTTTTTTGGTTATTCAGTAAATTTAGTCCTTATGTACTGTATTGTTTTTGGCATTACATATGTCAGAAGAAAATATTTCAGATATGCATTATGAAAACATAAGTTTGGATATCTGACATCAGTATGTAAACAAATTTCACTGATTTAAGTGTTCAAGAAATTCAAAATCAACACAGATAAAACTGAAAGAAAAGGATCCAACACTCACCACTTGGATAAGAAATTCAACTGGAAAGCCACCTAATGTCTCACTATCAGAGCTTGAAATTTTGTTTTTCCATGATGACTGTCCCAGTAAAGGATCGCTGTCCTACAAGAAAGTTTCATTTTATAAATTATTTCTAGTATGTAATAAAGATACAGCCTGAGTAAATGTTACTTTAACATTTATTGCAGTGCTACTTCTTTAGAGATTCCTAGTGTGTGCAGTAGATAGTGATGGACTAGGACTCTGGGGAACACAGTTAAAATCCCTGCTTAGCCATGGAAACTCAGCAGGGATGTGGAACTGGTAAAACCACTCCTTAAATATCTAACTTACCTTTAAAGCCCTATTAGGATTGCTGTAACATGTGTACACACATACACACTCAAACTTCCTTTTGCTGTAGAACTTTTAGAATTCCAAAAACTACTGAATGAAGGAAAATTTCCAGTTTATGTCACTTACTGTAATTGGTGACTGGAGGGATGGCGTATAATGTAATCGAGGAGGAGTCATAAAGAATCTAGAAGGTCGTTGTTTCTGTCCAAAGGCAGCAATTGGCATGGTTTCATGAGGTTCATTACTCTTAAATCACGAAAGAAAAAAAGGTTTATTTTCTTCAATGGGGAGACTGAACAAAAGTCTTAATGACATATTGAGAGAGAGAGAGAATAAAGTGTTTTAGAAATGTTGGCCAAAATATTGTTGCTTAGTTATGCCTGTGTAACTTGAAGTTGTACATTTTTTCTGAAATTGATGCCAAGGCAGAAATTATATTTAGTAGGTAGTTCTAAAGGTGTAGCTGCACAAGGAGCTACAATCTACTGAACCATCAGGCACATAATGTGGACTACCTGTGTGTAACTCCCTCCAACTTCCACAGGTATAACACCATGCTATACCAAGTGCAATAGAATTTTAGCCATTAATAAAGTTGACAATAATAACATATACACTTCACTTTTGAAATATACTGTGATCAATTAAAGTATGAAATTCATTATACTAGGAGAATTTTTTTCCCCATCACACTTAGAAATAGTACACAGTACTTACGAGGACTTCATAATCTGGGATTGTATGTGTTCCAAGCCCTGTCCTTTCAAATGTTACTCTGTAAGTAGCATTAAGAGTGTCAACAGCATCTATCTGTCCAGTGAAGAGTCCATCATGAGCACCACGTAATCGTGCTAAGATAAATAATAAACAGCATAATCTTAATTAAAGGAAAATAATTTGTATCTTTCTCAATGTATATGAGCTCCATATAAATACTTCATTCAATAAGTCTACTGTGCAATGAGAGCAATAAGTTCTGCAACAACCCCCTTCAAATTCTGTGCCAGTTGTAACGAACTGGTAGTTGTCCAGCTATTGTTGAATCTCAGTTCCCATCACACTAAATTTGACTCTGCCCAATTGGCTGGGGCTGATGAATGGTGGAATACAAAATCTGGTCACATGCTCCCATCTGTGTTTTACATTAATAAAACATGGATTTTATGACCAGTATGGTTATACAAAATAAGCAAGAATTTAATATTACACACCAACTTTTAAAATTCAAATTACTTCTGTAAATAGGAGGGAAAGGGACAAAGATGCATGGCAATGACTTCCATTAAATGTTTATTAGGCATTACTCAATTTATGTAAAATGCTACATACACATAGCTATACAAGCCCGAAGTCTACACTTTAAAAATATTTTTAGATTCTCAGAATGCTAATTTTCTATTTTAGAAAATTAGGGTAGAAATCTTTGCTAGAAACATACACAGTGAGCTACAAACTGGACTACAAAAGAATAGAGTTTTTACAACAATCCCTCAATTCTACTGCTGTGCAAGATAGAGATAACTTTATTGTTGCTGGCTGCTGCCAAGGCTATTGGATTCCAGCAATACAGAAAACTTCCCATATCAGTACAGCAATATTATCACACTATGTCAATTGTTGGAAATCAACAAGTTATGGCAGCTCAGGAAAAAAATGATTGACGATGCAATAATGGAGATCACAGAATGAAATAAAGGAAATTATGAAAGCTAGCACTTGATTTCAAGATACTGTATCTCCTACTAGAGAAGGCCTGGATACAAGCTGTGTCACTCTACACCCCAAATATTTAAATCATGGAAGGAAGGTAATCCTGTTTTATTGACGATGTGATATGAACAGTGAAGTATGTACATGTTTTACTACCTTAGTTATCTTCACTTTAAATGACATCTATAGAACTTAATACCAATCAAAACATCCGTTTCATTTAAGGATTAAAGAGGTACCTGTAACTTTTGTTCCTATGACTAGTGGCAATGGAATTTCTTCTGGAAGATCTTTAAATTGAGATATATCTGCCACCTTTCGCTGTTGCAAAAGTCTAATTTTTTGCCGTTTCTGCTTTAATGCTGACCTTTCCTCTTCAAAGAATGCAGAAGAACATCTGCAAAATAGTAAGCAGAACTATTCTAGTTTCTTTCATCTACACTCATTTATACATACAACCTGTAATTGTTCTCCCCACAGTAAAACAGCTTGCTTATATAAAACGTTTACACTGGGGAGAAAAATCACAGCAAGAAAGCCAGTGATGTGTGGGTTTATAAAGTTCTCTTGCAAGATGTCTTCACAGAATGTGAATCTACATATTGTAAATACAAATTGTGGCTTAGTTTTGACACAAAGGATGGTCGCCAGTGGTGTGCTTAGTCATAATATGCTTATTCTTTCTCCAGCAACAAGTGTATCTACCTAACATCAGGATGGGTGGAAGAATGGGAGTATGATGCCTAATGCGTAAATTACAATTTGACTATTAAATAATCAATTATTCAATTTATATACTGTCCAGCAAGCAAACTCCTACTCTTTGAATTAACAGCACAAACCTGTGCAAATATACTTGGATTCTGTGATAAGTGTGCAGATGTTTCCAGCTCATCTGGAATTCAGAAGAAAATTCTAACTATTAAAATTGTACAGTTCTCCATGTCTATAAAACAAATTGCAAGAGAAAAAAATGACAATATTCACAAGAATGAGTTTTTCCCTGGTTGTTGTTGTTTTGGCCTTGTTTTGTAGCTTATGAAATTCTTTCCAGATGCTAACTACAGTACCCAGTGGCCACTTGCTCCTTAAGTCAGCACAAACTACAGTATTTTTTGTTATGCTCCATGTGGGGGTACAATTACGTAGTTCATAACATTCAGATATTGCAGAATATACCTCACAAGACAATGTGACAGTACTATGGAGAACAAAGTATCAGTCCAATTCTTCACTATCTGCACTGGTGATTACTGCACATAAAGGCTGAAACTCAACTGCTCGTCACAACAAGATCTATTGGGTACACAATACACAGCAGAAGTGGATGACGTCATCAGCTTCCACCGGTAAATTTCAATTTAAAATAATTACTTCCCATCTCCCTGGCCTAGGTTCTGATGATCCTTGCAACTCCCTTTTGTCCTGGAAAAACTTTGGGAGCCTCAAGATTGGGGTGTGTGTGTCTTTGATTATTAAAATATCACCACTGGATGGCTGCCTGCAGTTCCACTCCTAACAGTGATGATTTGACAGTGACTTTCAGTGATTAAAGGAGAAAGATCTTCATAAGTCAAGCAACACAATATAATTGGGACACCATTGCCCAGTTATTATCTGTCTTGCCTCAAATAGTGGAGCTTCTCAAGAACAGGAATTCTGAATGTGATCTCAATATAAAGGTGGTTATTGTAGAATCAGATGCCATTCAGATATCACAATAACAACCATGGAGGGCTTTAAAAGTACCATAGTCATAACCATGGAGAGCTTGAAAAGTAAGCATCATCTCTTTAAATCAGTCTTAGACTAATATGCTCATGGAACTTCTTGAACATATGTGAGATCTGTTCCCAGATATCCTAGGCAATTCCAGTTCCCAGGAAATTACTTTTTCATAGTTTGCAAATTCAGTCCCAAACAAAACAGTAGTCCAGCAGTAGTTTGATATGCAGGTTACAGAATACAAGTAACTTAAGAGTAGCTATGGATCTCTGCCCACAAAAGTCACCACAATAGGCGTATTAAGCCTGTCACAAGTGGCACACAAACCTGAAATGATAAAAGATAATGTAGGCCAGTGAAACCAACTGGAAGCCTAGACATGAAGCTGGATCTGAGTACCACCTGACACTTTTAGAGTACTGCAGTGCTGTTTAGAGCAAGTTAATCACTTCCTTACAAAGGAGACAATCCACCCACCTTCTTTATAAGTCATCATTCAGTTCATTACTCATCCCAATAATTGATTTAACATACCATTCTGTCACACAAATCAAGTGAAAATGAAAAACAGACTTGGCTGTCATTGCCATAGTGACAATATCCACTCCCAATACCATGGATGAGCTCAGTCAGTAGTTTCAGACTGATATAAAGAAATGGGTACAAGATAGAACCGATATTACAAATGCCATTACAGCCTACTATTATCTTCTAGATCAGTCCCGTCGGTAGGAATGGAACCAAAGAAATAATCCAGTGTTTTAGTTTGCACAACAAAATCCTATCTAAAAGTATCCTGTCATCAATGGTACTGAAATCTGCAATGACAGGCAGAAATATTAACAGTCTTCCACACCTCAGATCCTTTTGGCAGCACAGTATGGAGACCAAAACAATTTCAATGTAAAGATTAGCCCACAAAGTAGACTGAAATGGATCCAGATAATTAGTTTCATGCAAGAGAAGCTCAAGCAACACCTGAAGTTGTACCACGGCCACATATTTGCAAGATATTTGCAACTGGCTAATAATTATTGCACCTCCAGAGCCCAATGAAAATGTCTTCTGCAGCAGTTTCCTAACCATCATCAATGCAACTGGAACTGTTCAATTTTTACTGTTCCAGTAAAATACAGTCTCTCTTTTACCTGAACCTAGCCAATTAACTTACTCAAGCTAGGTGTTAGAAGCAAGGACAGGCAAAGATGGTTGGATTGTCCTTGCTTTCTAAACCTGTTTGGATTAGAAAATTTATCTCTGTAATTCTCAGATGTCAGTCTGAGCAGGCAAAACTTTATGCACTATAAAAAATAACAGAATTTACCCATATTGCCTTATATTATTTTAATTTAGATACAGAATCTGTATGCAATTATTTGGTGGCAGAGATGAGAAGAAAAGATGTTCCATTTTCTCATGCTCAATTATAATAACACAACATATTCTACAGTCTAAAAGTGAATTAGTAGCTTAAAGAAACTGGACCAGCCAGGAAATCTTCAAACAAAAAAAACCAGACATGTTAACCCACATACCCACTCCAAATACATTTTAAACTGCTTAGTTTTGTTGCATAAACTAAAGTTTTACCTTCGTGGCTTTCCCATCAATCGCCTGATTTTTCCCCATTCCACTCTTGTTAACTTTCTGGTTTTCAGGTTTGGAAATGATTCTTTCAGACAAACACAGAAGTCATTATCACCTTCAAATAGTGGCCTGTTAAAAACAGTTGATATACTATTAGTATACAGTACATTCAAATCATTTCAGAAAAAGCATCATTATGTGTTAAGAAAATTGGTATGTTTAGATGCCACGGCAAACCAGAGTTTCTGCTGACTCCTGCTTTCAATTGTCTGCAGCAGAAATAGTTTAATGGGAATGGTTCATAGTTTTTATGACTATAGGCAGCAGACAGAATTTGGCTTGTTTCTCTTCCTAAAAAAGGTTATCAGAAAGGAGGTAGCATGCTGGCTTGTTTCCAAAAGCTGGACTTTTACTGAACACCAACTTGCCATGATATAAGAACCCAGTCATTGTTACCGTCACATGCGTAAGACTTTTATACATGTACAGTTTCACTTTACAAAGTAAGAGAATTTTGGTTGTTGTGTGTTTTTCGGGCTCTTTGGCCGTGTTCTGAAGGTTGTTCTTCCAGTCTCTGTGGCTGGCATCTTCAGAGGACTGGAGTAGGAACTCTGTCCATGCTCTGTTGCTGTTTGTTGGATAGCTGAGTATTTATAAAGAATTTTGTTTCCTAAACTTGTGGAATATGTGAAATAAGACTAATTGGCAGATAGGGAATTAAGATTAATGGATCTGAAATTACAATAATTCTCTTCAGGCATTAATTCAAATAACCTAGTTTAAATACAGGATAAGGGGGATGTGCTACCTCTGCTTGTTCTCAATTACTACACTCCTCATGTGGAGACTGCCAACTGCCAAAAGGAACCTTCTTGGTCATATCAGTAAAACAAGCATTTGCCTGACTGCATCAAAAGCCTCCATAGTTAAAGGAGGCTTTGTTCTGTCCCATTACAGACACAGGGAACAAAGACAATGGGAAGGACAAGGTGAGTACATACCCCTCCTTTCATGTTCACACAAATAAATAATGTGATGCCTGAGTGGAGCTTATTTCTTTATTATAACTAGAAATAAAAACCAGTTTAAATATATGATTCAATAACTTGTTGAGATTGAATTAAGAAGCAATAATTTTTACAAAACCTATGTCCTTCTGTTTAGTGGAAAGTATGACGAAGTTAATTTTACTACTTGATAAAAACTACAATAAGGCACCAACTAACAACAAGTTAAATGTGCTTGGAACTGATCAAAGACAAGTAGAGCTGGCTTCCTTAAGAGCTCTCCAGGTCTTCTGGACCAAACCTTTGCAAACCAAATGGCCATGATGTCTTCATTCATCTATCCCTTCTCATGAACTTGCATAATAATGTAATGTGGTATGGTCTCTTTAGGATAAGTTTTCCTCTTAAAAATAAGCATACTGTGGGCCCTCGGCTTACGAACGGCCCTAGTTGCGAATGTTTCAGGTTACGAACCCAATCTCATAGGAAACTATAGACCCTACTTGCGAACGTGGAATGGAGTTACGAACAAAAAACAAAACAAAACAATTCTGCCCCTAGTGGTAGGAATGGATTAAGCAGCTTTGCATTAGTTCCTATGGGAACTAATGAATCGACTTGCGAACCACCCCTCGACTTAAGAACCAAAACCAGCCGGAACGGATTAAATGGTTTTCAATGCATCCCTATGGGAAATGCTGATTCGAGTTATGAACTTTTCAGGTTACGAACAGACTTCTGGAACGGATTAAATTCGTAAGTCGAGGGTCCACTGTAGGAGGCAGTTTAGTACCATCTGCACAACATGAAAGTACAGCAGTATAGTGTGTCTTTTCATGGCTGCATGTTTTGATTGCCACTATTTTGATTCCTTTCACATCAACTGTTCTGTTGGAAAGCACATCAAAATTGAGAGACACCTCACCCATGTTTGCAATCTGACTTGGTTCAAAATCATATTTTTTCCGAAGCTGTATGACATAGGAGTGAAACTGCTGGATTTTATCCTCATAAACAGGTGGCATTTTCTGTGCTAACTTTGTTCGTGCTCTCATGGCCAACCCTTCTCTTCTCATGAAACTGAGGCACCATTTCGCCTTTCCGGTAAAATCTACCATCTTCATTTCACTTGCAAACATTCTTGCCTGTTGTTGAATAAGCTCGGTTGATACACATATCCCACTCTGGCGCTGTTCCAGAATCCAAGTCTTGAGCCTCTGCTCCAAGTTTGGCCATTTTGTTGATTTTCCTCTTAAGGCTTTTTTTTTCCTTTCTTTCTTTTTTTTTTTTTTGCATCTTAAGGAGTTGTTCTTCACTGTCTGATCATACACTAAGTGGGAGGAGGTCCAAACTGTCTGTCTGCAGCTTTATTTCCATGCTTTTTTGCATAACATTATATTCAGTAAGATAGTCACTTTTTAAATTTTCTGACATATTTACGGGCTCAGTGGTTGCACTGCCTACACCAGTGGTGAATGAACACGGGTGCCCAAACTGAAAAACAAAAACCCAAACCAATAGGTGGCGGTGGCAGAAACAGCAGCAGAAGCAGAAATGGAGAGGATGGATCCCAGCACGGAGGTGCCTGCACACCCCATTCCGAATCTGCTTGCAGGCGAGGAGGAACAGCACCTGTTGCTTCAGATCTATGAAGCAGCAACAGAAGCAGAAACGAAAGGGGTGGATCCCGCCACGGAGGTGCCTCCAAACCCCACTGATGAGCATATGGTAGGCAGTTTTGCTACCACACAGTTTTCTCCTCAGCTTACTTCCATGTAAAAGATGACCCTCAATTTTTCCTCTAATGATTTTAGGAAAAAGGATAATCTTTTACACAGTAATGATCAATAGGCATATTTTAGCAAGGAGAACAGAAATAGCAACTCTTATCTCTCCTTCAACCATCTGATATTACATTTTGCTGCCAAATATCGTATTTTTTTGCTCCATAAGATGCACTTCCCCCCCCCCCAAAAGTGTGTGTGGGGGGAAGTCTGTGCGTCTTATGGAGAGAAGCTGGCGATTTCGCTCCCACTGCCCCCGTGGGGGGGAGCCTCGCAAGGGTCTGAATGAGCCTTCCAGGACCCTTGCGAGGCTCCCCTCACCCCCCATGAGGCCAGCGGAGGCCAAATTGCCAGCTTCTAGGACCTTTTCTGAGCCTTTCAAGCCTCAGAAAAGGTCCTAGAAGCTGGTGATTTCGCCCCTGCTGGCCCCGTGGGAGTGTGTGGGAAGCCTTGCAAGGGTCCTGGAACAGACCCTAGGACCCTTTGGAGGCTCACCCTGCCCCCCCCCGCCAGGCCAGAGGGGGCGAAATCGCCACCTTCTGGGACTCTTTTGAGGCTT